TCAGTGGGCAGACTTGCAAGATCGCCGGCATTCTGGGTCCTGGTGCTGAACTGGGATCTTTCCTTGTGCAAGACACTTGCAGCGTGGCGGGGACTTTGCCTCGCTTCACGAATGCGGGCCTGATGGAGTCATGGTCTGATGGAGATGTGTACTGGGGGACAGCAGCTGTGACTGCTGCTGGCGGGCTGTACCGCCTGTGCTGGGCAGGCTTCCAACCTGATGTTCTGCCATACGAGCTCGTGGTCAACCGCTCTTTCAATGGCAGCGGAAATTTTACACTTGCACAGCTGGTAGGCAACTGGACTAACGCGACTTACAACATGACCAGGACAAGCGTCCCGGAGTGGCTCGTGGACGTGGGCCGGTTCACCCTACTGGGACCTGCTCCACTTAGCCAAGACTTTACCTGTGCTGCTGGGGCAGCTTGCAACCTTCGCCCAATCACTGGCTATTATCTGGGATCGCATGATGTCTTTGCAGTGCTGGAGACCTGTGGTGAGACTTCGACGGCTGCTGACAGCATGACAGCAATGCGCTTTTCGATTGCAAGTACTGGTGCGTGGCTAGCACCGACTCTACCAGCAGGTATGTACCGTCTATGCTGGTGTGCAGAACTGGGTGCGGCAACCTTCAACATCAGTAGCTACGGCAACTTCAGCCGCATGTCTTGCATGCTGCAGCAAGATTTCCAAGTCGATGTGGGGCACGTATCAGTGCAGCCTGCAGCTGCAGCTGAAGAGAATGTGTCATCCGATGCTGTCGCTGCCCCCTTTGTGCCGGTGGTGGAGAGCAACGACACCCAGGTGCGGCCTGTACTTGCGATACGGGCGTTGCCAATCTTGCTTGTAATATTCCTCAGATCGTAAAATCATGAGGGCGAAGCTTTGGTAGTATTAGAGTTAGTATTAGTATCAGTATAGAATTAGCATTATTCTTGTATTGTTAGAAGTGGTGTCATTGTTATTACTTTTATATTTATTGTTGCTGCAGCTATTGTACCATGCCCGTATGTAGCTTTCCAAACCTTCAGGGCTTGCTCTGCACAAGCATCGTTATGGAATGCTTGTGCAGGTGGGTAGTGTTTTATTAGGGGATACTATGGTACTCAATTTAGAGTAAGATGATATTCTCCTTTTTGGGTATAGTATCTTATATACGGAATATAATCTTACCCTGGTGCAGGTGGTTGTGAGCGGCCCATGGCCAGTTCCGCAGTACCGCACCTGTGTCAGTGGACAGCGCTGCAGCTTCCTTCTCATGGGCATCCAACCTGCTGATCTGGTTCTGGTCCTCGATACATGTGGCTTGCCGTCTGTCATTCCGAAGTGGCCAGCCGGTGGCCTGAGCCTGCCTGTCGGTGAGAATGCTACAGTTGATGCAAACGAAAGCATCTCTCTTAGTCAGAGGCTGACCTGGGGAGACGGGGCAGTGACAGCAGCAGGAGCTACATACAGGCTATGCTGGTGTCCGGCTGGCTCCGCCTGCGACACTTTTGCCAACTTTGCAGTTGACATAGGCACCGTGGACCTGCTGGGACCACGGCCTGGAGCAACAACCTGCGTTAGTGGACGTGCGTGCTCCTCGCATGTTCAAGGTCACATGATCTCTTCCAACGACACCATTTGGGCACTTGAAACGTGCGGAGTGCAAGGTCGAAAGTTTGAATTTACAACCCGTGGTGTGCTGACAATGCTCACAGGGACCAGCACCGTGCAGATAGCAAACTCATTTCTTGTCGGTCTTGGCGGGACCTACAAACTATGTTGGTGTGGCCCAGGCTGTCCATGCGCGGACGGCCGCGATTTCAACACAGAAGCTGGTGATCTTGTACTGCAGGGTCCATCTGACGATCGCCAAGACAGGACATGCATTAGTGGCAGAACTTGTGTTGTCGATGGCGTTCAAGGTCAAGACTTGTCTGACATGGACGAGTTCCTCATTCAGGACAGCTGTGGCAGTGATCAGGTTGCGGAATACTTGGTGAA